ACAGTTTGAAAACTCCTTTAAAAAAATTAATGGCTAAAGTCCAGAGGGCTAGAAGTGCTTGCCACTGAGGACTCAAAGTACCTATGTCCATTAAGTTACTTACTGCTTCTCCATTTTTCAAAATACTAGAAGTATGGCTGTACCCTTAATGATTCTTAGGATTGTGATATTGACTTAACTATAGAGAAAAGTCATTGAAAATTTTTTTGGTTCTTTCTTATCACATGTTATAATGTGATTATAACATTGTTATGTTTTTATAGTGTAATGTGAAGTGTTTATTATGAGAGCAACCAGGATGATAAAGTGCAATTCTCAATGTTCACTTTACCTGTTTGTGTCTGCTTATACAGAAATTCTTCATTTAGGGTACTGATCACTTGTACTGATAGTGCTAGTGGAGAAAAAACAAAGTGTGGCTGGCAGATGCGAAATGCTACTTAAGCATAGCTAGTATGTCTAGAATGTCTTTGTGCATAGGTTGAAATTTGTGTGTGTGTGTGTGTGTGTGTGTGAGAGAGAGAGAGAGAGACTAGAAGGACAGAGAGAGACATAGAAACAGAGTGAAACAAAAGACATAGACAGAGAGACAGAAAAATTTTGGTAATATTACCAACAGTAAATTCAGATTGTACATGTGTGTTTTCCTGAACACAGAAAGCACATAAGGATATATCAGTGAAGGCAATAAGAATAACTATACGTCTTCCTGGAAATACAGATGTGATTTATTTGTTTCAGTCATTAAATACCAACATAGTGCAAAGCAAGAAGGAAACAATCTCATTCATAGGATATTAATATTCTGAAAGTAATAAAATGAATTGAACACAGGTATGGGGCCTTAACTCTTATAATCCCAGCACTCAGAAGGCTGAGACAGGAAAATTGCTGAGTTCAAGGCTACCCTGGGCCATAAAGGGAGTATCAAGCCAGCCAGAGTTCAAGAGCAAGATCCTATCTCACAAAAACAAATTTAGAAAATATATAGATTACATGTGGATTAAGGGTATAAAGCTCATATTATGTGGAAATCAGAAATTAATTTTTAAGCACTTTATACAGCACCCCGTTTTTTCATCTGCAAACGATGGGCTAACGTCAATAATCTTAAAATTCTGTGAGCATTCATTACTGCCTTTAGCACATACTATTTCATTGCCTCCCAAAGCTTACATGCGAAGTGATTCAAAGGAGACAGTAAGAGAGTCAAAAAGAGAAGGAGATAAAAAGGGAAAGGAAGGAAGACAATGAGGAGGAAAGTAAGGGAGGAGGGGGGAAAAGAGAGGGAGAAAATTTGGTGGAGAAACCAAGGAAGAGGAAGAGAGAAAGGAAGGAAGGCAGGTAATAAGAAAAAAACTAGGAAACAAGGAAGAGATGGGTGGGGGAGACATTGTGAGGGACAGGTGACAATGGTAATCATGACCATGCAAAACAGTGAGAATGCTTGAAGTCAATTTAAAGTAATTATCTACCCTGCTATTTTCTGCCACTATTCTTGACACAATCAGGTGAGCTGTGCCTAGAAATGATGCTGAAATGACCCTGATCCAAGGAAACTTTCTTTACAGGAAGCAATGTTAGTTCCAAATACTGTTATATATTTTGAAAGAATTTTTAAAAAGATATTATGATTTTTGCCTGAAGCATAGGCAGAAACAAATATTGATGTAGAGTTTTCTTCCTGGTAGCTATAGCCACGCTGGAGAGAGGGTGGCTTGAACAGGGAAGCCAGAGCTGACTGCCATCCCTAGCAAGGGCGAGAATTCAGTGAGGAAAGCAAAGGGGGTTGAAAATGAAGCAATTTTAGCCTGGCTGTCACCTAAAAATAGAAATGTCTAGAAGCAGTAGAGCTGAGGCAGAGGCTGGAGAAGAACCAGAGCAAGCAGGAAATGGACTGACTGGCAGCCAGGTCCTTATTTGTCACTGAGTCTGAATTTGTCTTTCTTTAAACTCCTTCTATCTGGCCAGGCTGAAGAGTGTGTCTTAGTGGGAGAAGCGTACATGTTCATCTGTCTTATATATGAAGTCACCCACCGTGGACCAAAACTCCCACTGTTACTTCTGCCTTGAGTGACTTTAATCAGAAGAGATTCCCTGAGAAATCAGGGGACAGTGCTCTTCTAGATCAGAGTGAAGAGAGTCTCACAGCCGGACCTGTTACCTGCTGTGTTATCCTGTTACCTGTTAGTGTGGCACAGGAACCCATGGAGACGTCATTGTCATAGGTGTTCCATCTCTCTGTGCTCAGACTGTTTCTCACAACTCCTACAGAATAAGGAACAAGGCAGCCTGATTCTTCTCTACCCGGAGCGGGGCAGATTACAGTGGCACTGTCCCGGAAGAGAATGATCAATTTTCTCACTGGCAAAACAAATAAACAAACAAACAAAAAAACCAAAAACCCATAAAAGTCAGCACACACACTAACTAATGTTATCTTGTGCCAGAAGGTTTATAGACCAGTTTACCAAATAAAAATTTAGAGTAAGGCGAAGGAGACATTGCATTACAGGCCTTTTCCCATTTGTCTTTACAAATTATCAGTTGTTTTGCCTATGTAACTAATGAATTCTCATCCAACCTCTTACAACAGCTATGTTATTGATACTATTGTACCGATCCCTCAGTATTTAATCTAGCTTCTTGAAAAGAACAATTGACAAAGTTAATTTGTAATAATATGAATAATATGATATACAAGCCTTTTGGTTAACTTTAAAAACTGGCTATATCTTACCTTATTTTCCTTATAGGGAGGAAGTTGCAGATATTTTAATCGTGTGCTCAAGAGAAAAATCCAAGAGATCCCGGATTTCTATGCACTAACTTATAGGTCCTTGCTATTAGATTTTAATTTTGATGTTAGATGTGTGTGCGTTTGCCTTTTCTGATATTCGTAATTCTCAGAGGATTTTGAAAGCAGCTCATGGCAGAGAGAGTTAGATTTCAGCTTAGAAAATTGAGTTGGCAGTCTTCAGTGTATTTCTTTGTTTTGTTCCAAGATGAGCTACATAATTAACCTTTGCCGAAAAGAGGATTGTTTTTCCAGTTAAATTATTTGGCTAGACTCTCACTTTGTTCAGTATGGTGGAATAGATATGGCAGCACGAGTAGCTATCCCAGAACTTACGTCTGCTGCCTAGCAACTGCGCACAGAAAATGTAATATTATGACGTTCTTGGATTTCCACAAAGCAAGGGAAATTTCAAATTTGTTAAAAATGAGATAGAGTCTTGAGTAAAAACACATTTTCTTAGACCTATTTTCTGGGTGACTGTCAATCCACCCTGCTTTTTTTTAATCGTTGAGTATCTCGATAGCATCACAAATGTCTGCATCAGAGAGCAGGCTTGTTTTCAGGGTATTTGTAGATAGATCTAGAAGTTGAAAATAGAGTCCAAATGGCACTGTGCTCCTGATAGCTTCTGATGCTGTTGCTATTTTAATACAACATATGCCCAGAGGAGGTGTTTCCTATTATTATGTAAATTTATTTCTGCAAGAATAGAGAGAGAGGATCACACAGCAGATGAACAGCCACAAGAATTGTTAGTCTAATTCTTTGATGGTATAAACAGAAATTCTTTGAGGGAAACAGAAATGAGATCCTTGGTCTCTTTTGTCCTAATTAGTAGATTTTGTCACTGGCTGTACGTTCAAAGTCCTAAGGAATCTCCAGTCTGCAGCATTCATTGCTGGGCATAGGAGCTCACAACATACAAGACTGGACCAGACTAGAATTGACTGTGCTGGAACAGAAGTGCAGCTTTCAGAGCTTCATATACTGCTTTCAAGGATGTATTCTCTACCTGCACTTACCTGTGGGTTCCCAGTTCTTGTACCCCCAACTACTTTCTAATTCCATACAGGATCAGATAAAAGAAGTCAGTGAGGCCATTTGCTGGAACTTCAGTGCAGAAAGAGGTCTGGGTTTAGCCATTCACCTGACACCACTGGTTCACAGCCTCTGCAGACCACGCTTTTCCATGCTATAAATAAGCCAAAATTTCTCTTACTCCTCTCTCAAACAGTGAAGTCTCTCAGGCTTTCCTTAGAAGTCCGAATCTCAGAGCCACAGCGCCCCCTGGTGGCCAGTCAAATGAAAAGCATTCTTACTTTTTTCCTACTTGATTTTTTGTTTTCTCAAATATATTCCACCTCAAGGTTAAGGTTATGGGACAGAATCAACATCAGTGTGACCTGCCCAAAAGGAGTGAAGACATTCAAAAAAGACACTGTATATCCATCTCCCTTTGGCTTTCGTGATATTGAAACAATCTTCAAGATATTAAGTCTTCAAGACATACAGGGCCAACCAGAAGGGAAGCTTTTCTCCCAGAAAGAGATTTGCAAGTTATCAGACTATACTTTTCAGAAGAATGGAGCTGAAACAGTGATGGACAGGACCACACCTCGATGGGTGGAGACTGTTTAGATATGCATACCTCTGGCCCCTATGTTTAAAACTGAAGCTAAACTGCTTATTGGAAGCCTAAGTCACTGGATTTATTTTTTATTTATATTTTTGACCTTCTTCCCAATGTGAGCACAATGAATAAATTCCCCCTTTCTGCTTTTTACGATTCAAACAAAATGCAAAAGAAAGCAAAGGGGATAGGCACTCCACAGGAAGACCACTAGAGTCAACTAACTTGGACCTTTGGGGCTCTCTCTCAGTGACTGAACCACCAATCAAAG